CAAAAAGTGGCATAAGAAAAATGAAACTGCTGTCAGACACACTCAGCCTCTACAAAGGATAAAATGTCTCAAACAGGAGTAAATATAATACCTCCAGTCCCTCTAATTGTAAAAAACGAAAAGGGGCATAAGAAATATGAAACTGCTGTCGGGCACATTCAGCCTCTACAAAGGATAAAGTGTCTCAAACAGGGGAAAATATATTGAGTAAATATAATATTAAGGTGGTGAGGAACACTCAGCCCATTTGAGCTGGATATCTGTAGGTATTGGGCGAAATATGCACCCAACAGTCATTGTCACCAGCGGATTAGAGGTTGATTGGCTGGGATAATACTATATATATATTATATTGGTGGATTTTCTATGTTATTTTGGAAATAATTATTACATGTTTTTTTGTAATAATTTATTTATGAAATAAGTAAATCTGAAATAATTATTTCTGAAATAACCCATTTCGAAATAAATTACTTTATTTCAACAAATGTTAAAATATTGAAATAATTATTTCAGAAATAAATTTAGTAGTTATTTCAGCGAGATTATTTCATTGGCAATTTGAAATATTATTTTAGAAATAATCATTCAATAATCATATGATTTATTATAGAAATAAATTATTTCAAGAGTGCCCCGGTCTAGTTAAAATATAAACAGTAGGCTAAATTAATAAAAAGTAACACAAAAAAATTCTAACAATATATATAGTAATTTAACAGTTAAACAAAAAATCTCAAGCATGATTATAGTTGAAATTGAAAAAATAGAAAAAAATAAAAATAAAATACATAAATATAAATATATATACTCAGAAAGAAAAAAAGCAAAACCTGGAGCAAACAAATAGTAAGAATAATAATCAGACTAGGTGAAAAGAAAAAGAAACAAACTAACTAGACAAAATGGTGTTTAAGTGATTCTTGAAGTCCTATTAAATGTAATTGCATGAACAATAATACTTTTAGAGATAACGTTTTAATATTTTGTTCATAAGACAGGTAATATTTTACCATTTTGGGGAGAGCCTTCAGCCCAGCCCGAAAGCACCCTGTAGATCTGCCTCTACTTTAAAGTACCATTATTTTTTTAATTGAAATAATTAAACATTTCACGTTATAATCTGCTATATAAAATGGTTAAATATAAAATAAGAAAGGATTTGCTAACTAAATAAAGGAGAAATAATGGGTCGTAATGGAGGGACGAAGAAACTGGAGTGTACAACTCAGCTCGGTTGAAAGTTTAAAATAGGCTTCCATACATGACACTTGCTTAATACAATATGGACTCCAATATTATTAGTATAATATTATCCTATAATATATACATATATATTCGGTTTTCAAAAATCCTAGAGTTAGAATTATTTAATATTAAATTGCATTGATTACATCAATATAAAAATTAAATTTGTATATAGACCAATGCTTTATCCTTTGAATGTGGAAGCTCATTCGCTAGTATCTACCATACATTACATCCTGCTATCCACAGACATAACAAAAAAAAAAAGGATTTTTTTTGCATGAATTTGTTTAAAATGCTACTTTGAGTCATCTTGTATGATCTTAGCTTTCAAAAATGCATTTTAACATTTCTATTCCTTAAAAAAAAAAAACGGGATAAGTGCCTTCCAGGCCACACATAGCAATGCAAAATTAGAGCGGCAATCGCACAACAATTCGCTTTCTTGGGTATTTGCTCATTTCTGCAAAGCAAAATAACTGAAAATGATCAGAAAAATAACTGTAAGTGATCATAAAAATAAACCGATGGCAGGATTCGAATCATAAATTTGTTTGTATTCACAAATTTTTTATTACTCCACTTACATTTATTTTGAGTTTCAAACACTTTTATATTATATGAAATATATATATATATATATATATATATATATATATATATATATATATATATATAATGTAGGAAACTTACATTTATTTGTTTAGTAGACAGATTGACGTGTACCACAAGCAGCATTCAGTCAAAACAAAAATTTTAAAAAAGAAGAAAAAAATGTAAAATTAACTTATTAACATTTATTTTATGTATATAACATTTAAATATAATATAAATAAGATCATGGATATGACACAAATGACAAAGAAAGGACATACGTTGGGTTCAGAATAATTCTGTAACTGATAGCTTCCAAATGGTCAGAATCCTGAATGACTGCACTTATTTATCTACAAGGGACTATTGAAAGCATATCACATCTGCATTCAAAGGGTTAAACAAATAAAAATAACTACAATGAAATATAAATAAGTATAGAGTCCGTCCTTCTTTATCAGTGGCATTCTTGTTGTACTAAAAATATTTCGTGGCACTTAATTGTTTATTATAATTAAAATATAGTCGTAAAATGAAATGGTTAGTCACAAAAAATGTTAACATAATGAAAAAAAAATAAGAAGTAACGAGTAAGATTTTCTGACCAAAAAAATATACTCATTCAAAGTACTGAAATGAGCCAGAAAGGTAGATTAAACTGAAATAAGTGTATATGGAAGGATTGCATTAAGGCTTATCCTTTAATGATTTTGCTTTTGGTCAGTAGATATGTGAGAAGCAATCGGAGGAGTCAGAATAAAATTTTTAATTTATTTAATCTTAATTTAATTACAGTTTGAATAGGAACAGTGCAATTAAATTTAATACACATTATTCCATTTCAATATAGATTGCAATTGTCAGGGGAATGATTTACTCAAGTACTGTTTATGTTGATTAATCCTAAAAGACAAAAATAATGTAATCTAACAAAATTCATCAAGATGCTTTTTACTATCTATTATTCAGTCTTAGGTCTAATCTTATTATCAAATATTCTGCCTTAGACAGGACTTTTCAAGATTTGGATTGTAATTTTATGTGATTCTTAACATACTTGGCTCAGATCACTTATAGAAATATATATGGACCAATAAAAACAAAAATATTCTCCTATTTTATGATGGGGCTTCACCCTGAAAGCCCTCTTCCTAGAATTAGCTAGTGAACTTATATGTGAGCGAATCCTAGTTGGGGTAATATACATATTTTAAGACAAGTTGTTTAAACTCCAAATATCTTTAAGTCATAAGTTAGGTTAATAATTCTGAGATAGTTACTTTGAGTGGTCATAAAATAGTGAAGATGAGATTCACACAAGTGAGTTGATATTTAAGGAGCTATTCAGATCTCTTCTACTTCAACTGTTAACAATTTTAAGGTAGATTGAGGATGATTTCCTGATCATATGCTAATACAAATAGATGTGTGTTAGTACTAAATATAGATATTATCAAAGTACAACACTGTTACCCAACCAAATGGCTATTGATTCTAAATGAATAAAATGGATTAACTATCATAGAAAGTATAAATCTTTTGAAGAAATAAATGGTTCAATTTAAAATGACATTAATGCAGCACCAAATTGCACAATAAAATACTAAGCTTTCCTACCTTCGGTAGCGAGGAAGCAAAAGTTAGAATGATTTTTATTACAAAACAATTTAAGAAAGATCCTAATCCTGTATTGATGTAAATTATGTAGCTGAAAATACACATAACACCAATAATCATAACTTAAACAAATTGATTGTTCAAAATTTGTAATAAACACGTTTTTCAAAATAAAATATCTATCTGCTCAAAAAAAAAAAGATATTGAAGATTGAAGCATGCAACTCTGAGTTGAATATGGAATCCTATGCTAACATCATTTTCCTAAATTACATTAAATTGAATATTGCAACAATTCATTAGTTTAAATAAGAATTCTTTCAGTTATTTTCACAAAAGCATGTTACTAAATGTCTAGCAAAATTGATGTATTCCCAGTATTCAATCATTTCAAACAAGACAAACATTTATTGTTTAAATTTTGTAGCAACAAACTATTGTTATTACTTAATCCCCAAAAATAGTAATTTACCAAACTTCAAGTATTCAGTCTAAGGTCTAACCTTATTACCAAATGCTGATTCTTAGACAGGATTGTTCTAGATTTGAATAGTTTATCACTTTCATTTTTAAGAGAAATTATAATTGAATAACTCTAAAAGGAATAATATATCTACTATATTACTTTTAAAATCATAAAATAAGCAATGTGCTAGGTTTACTGCTATTAAGGTACTGCATGTTTTCTGAAACAAATAAGGATTGAAAATATGATGACTAATTGAAACTACAAACTTAAGAAAATGTCTAATAAACAAATTATTGGAGTGTTATATTTTTATAATATAATTCAGAACAACATATCAGAGCATGCTATTTGAGAACCTTTTAATCAGACAGTTATTTGGTTTATTATTAGAATAAGTGAATGTTAAACAAGGCACTTTCAAACTCAGAGTTTTGCCTTAAACTTGAAATTCCAACTTTCTACAATTGAGTAAACTGTAAATAGAAACCTATAATAAAATAGAGCTTAATTCCACAATGGAAGTCAGCGGCTTTCTAAAATAAATCAGATTAAGTGGGGTGTTAAAACACCAAACATTCCTAAAACACACATTGATAAGTGGTTATTCAGTTAAATTTTAATTAATTAAATATATTAAAATTGGGACAGGAAGATTAGATATGGCAAATATTTGAGCGAATGTATTTCATATACGGCTTCAATCAATTGCACATCATTAAGATATGGCAATAAAACAAAAAACTATAGATGAAAGCGAAAATGAGAAACAATACCCTTGTATAATTATATAAATTCAAAGTTTCTGCGTCATTGTTTCAGCCTTCAATTCATTTTTTTAAGTTAGCTACATTGGTTTTAACAAATCATATTGCAGGCAGATAATGAAATAATAAAAAAAAACTTAATATCATTAGTTCAATTAATCTTATTTACAATAAGTTGGAAATGAGAAATGCTAGTCAATAAAAAGCAACTAAAAATAAAATCAGGATAACCTAAAAAATTCTATATTTACTGCTGTTTTCTTATGTTTTTCAATAGAGCATAAAGGTTAAATAAAAACAAAATAATTAAGCACTCATGTTTTATTGCATTAAATTTAAAATTAGTGTTCAAATCCTTTAACCTATAACTCAGATAATACTGATTAGTATTTGACAAAATTAGGATGAAGTGGTCATCATTTATTGTTTAAATGTTACAACAGTTTCCTAATATATGTTAAATTTTTTTTTTAGCAGAATACAATACGTTTGATTAATATTCCTTTGTACATTATTTTAAAGACAAATTTACATTTATTCCATTTGAGCTATCACTACAAATTCATCTATAATATTCACTACGAACACATTGTGGTTATTAAAAAAAAAAAAAAATAGAGAAAGAAAAATATATACTACTAGATCTGTAAGTAAAAAATGAGCAGATACGAAACTACAGAGTACTTAGGACTTACACATTGTCGAACAGATTACTATAAATCTAACGCACATCCTTCTTTGGTATAAAGCCATAGAATACATAACAGATTTGACAAATTTCTTCCAATAGGCCTAAATTATAGTAACCACAACTCATATTCCAAGGAATTATCTCATATTGTACACACTGTGTCTTCATTAGAGATTCACTTCATTAGACTGTCATTTAATCCAACATTGTACACTAAATTGTGATTGATCTGCCAAAAACTTCAATTAAAACTCAAACTCCAGCCTCTAATTCTCTCTGACGTACAACCATAGCCGCTTCAACAAGTACATTCAGACAATTAAAGGGATCTTCACTTTCATGAGTATAGTTGTAACTGTCACTACAACTATTAGGTATATAACACACAGTTTCAGGGCTTGGATTAGATATCTTTATAATGTCACTCACGAAATCACTGAACTTATTTGCTTGGTCTGGGAATTCTTCAGTTTTGGGATGGAATGAAGTATTGTTTGGGCTCCAAACACCATCTTCATACTCAATCTTAATTTCATCTTTGATTTCCATGCTGTCTAAAGAAACGCCAGAAACTAAGTTTTTTCGCCTCGTCTCCTGTTCCAAAGCTGGCTGATGTATAGAATCCTCAAAATCTCTCATCATTTTTGGTAAAATTCTTCTCCTAGCATTAATAAACCAATTGGAAACTTGTGATATGGTTAGATTAGCTTCCTGACTTAAAGATGATTTTTCGAAGTCATTGGGATAGGCATTATGTCTGTGATTAAAAAGCCACCGCTTTAAAATTCTAACTGATTCAGTGGGAAGATTCATGCGACGCTTTTTAATACTGCCCCTAGCAACTTTCTGAAAACTATTACCATCATAATCGGCATCTGAAGCATCACTATTGGAATTATCGTTCATTGAATCACTTTTCCAAGACTTTTTCAAAATGGGACTCTTAACCTTCCTAGAACCCATCTTTTCGTACAAACCTAAAAGTAAAAATTAATGAAATCTAACCCAAAGCTGAACAAGCACGTTAGGTACTATATATATGTCTATATGACTTCACAAAGTTCTTCACACTAATTAACTAACTTTAAATCACAAAAGAAAGTTCTTCACTTTTGGTTAATTAACACCAAACGATTAATTATCACTCAAAATATAAAAATCATTCATTTGACAGATTTGACATACAAGCACGTGTCTGACCCAGACAGCTAACCGGGCGGGAGAATGAATAGGCGCCAAAGGGATGCCAACTTCACAAAAACTACATAATTCAGTTTGTACACTTAATTTTGCTTCCAGAATTTTCTATAATACAAATTTTCTTATTGAAATGAAATAAATATACAAACTCAATTGATATAGTTGGCATAACTTTTTCAACTATCAATAGAAAATTCTTTGTAATCAATTAAGTTCTGAAATAGGTAGTTAAATGGTTATTTTAATTTCATTTACTTCAATAGCATGGTTTTGAAAACGTAATTATTTTTTAGGCTTCATAAATCAGATTTTGATGACTAAACAGGAAATTTAGCCTGCCTTCATATAACATTTTTACCTTCTTTTATATAATATTCTTTTTGTTTATTTTAAATTTATCAAAATTGATCTTAATTAATATTCTTTCAACAAAAAAACTATTTTATTTTAAAATCACCTAATATATCCTTTTTTTTGTATATATCTTATTACAGATGATTCTTGAAATTTATTCCATACTCTGCTACCTCTCTTCCATTATAATAAAAGCCATTGAATAGTCTTTGCTTCATTGTCCAAGAAATCTGTTATAGATACTTATGCTAACAATAATGAAATCCGTTTGCTTTAATAACGCAGGAGCAATAAAATTTAGAATAATTTTACCATTTGTGTTAATGATGACTTACACATTTCAGCATATTTTAATATATCTTATATTCACTGATTGATCCTGCACAGACACATCCAAAGGGAGGGCTTTTAGGCTGAAGTACTCCAAAATAGAAAAATAGTTTTTTTGTTTTAACATTGATCCATATTTGTTTCTGCATTAGTTTCTCTGTTTCTGAGCGATCGTAACTAAATACTTGAACAATCACAATATGTTGCTACTGTTAGTGCAAAAGGTCATAAGTAAAAATTGAGTTTTTTTAAAGAGGAGCATATAAACCAATTATTTCTTTATCATTTACTAGTATAACTTCATATTTAATTTTCCTCTGATATTTTCTATTTAGCAGAGTCGTTATAGCACTTGCAGACTAAAAAATGTAACCTGTAGCACAAAGAGAATAAACATGTAAAAAAGTTATATACTGCCTTTTGCATTAACACAAGCGATATACCATTTTTAAATTATAATGCATATGCTGTTACTAAATGTAAGCATATATAAAAAAAAAAGAAAAGAAAATAGCATAAAACATTATTGTTTTAATAGAACTTTAAGAAGCACTTGAATATCATTTTATGTAGTATATTTTTTTTTTTTTTCAAAGTATTCGAAATAAAATCTCAAATTCGCTACTTTGATTCTGTGGAACACTTGGGCAGTAATAAGGTCATACAGGTTCAGCATCACTTACAATACAAAGGTACTAACTACTTCTTTGTGAAATTGAAATTGGGAGAAATGATAGAAATGATTATTTGTCAAAAAAATACAGAACAATAAAGATATATAATACCATCCGCAAATATACAAATAAATTATTTTAATAATATTTTATAGGAACAATTTAGAGTAATAAAAAATAGAAAATAAATAATAACCCTTTATAAAAGATGTGATTGGTAGATTTAAGAATTTATTTTTTTTTTTCACTCATATAGAAAGATGGAAGATTTTATTGGGACACACTAGACTAATAAGCGAAATATGAGCCAGACATTTCGAATTCCAATTCTCAAGATCAACATATATCCATAATTGTCATCCTGGGGCACAGGTGGATCAACGAGGAAAGGGAGGTTTTCGAGCTGAAGCCCCTCCAAATGGTGAAATATATACATGTCTTATGAAAAAAATTATTCCTAACAAGTGTTCTTGTTCATTAATTACATTTAATAGGAATTCAAGAATCACCAAAACACCATTTCTAATAGGTCGTTAGTTTCTTTCTTTTTCTTCCAAAGTAATAATTGTTTTATATGTATATATAAATTTACATATACATACTGAAAAAAAAGCTTTCCGACTGAAGCCTCCCCCTCTCCCAAAAATTAATTCCTGGATCTGCTAGTGTTCTGGGGTAAAGGGAGCTGGACCACTGTAGCATTCCTCCTCAAAAAACTTTGTGGTATCTGCTCTGTTCCTTCATTAGCTGAGAATCCTATCGGATTGATTAACTGCAATCCAGGAGATCTGGTGGCTTGGAAACAGAATGATAAGGAAGGATAATGACGCCATATATTATAGCTTCAATGAAAGGCATCACACTTTCGGAATAGGTTTGGTTGTGGGTGGAAGGGTGTCTCAGCTTGTAATGAGCTTTGAACCTATCAATCCCAGATTGTGCTATCTAAGACTAAGAGGCGAATTCTACAATTACATACAGTCTTGTGAGTGTACATGCCCCAACTGAAGTCTCAGATTTATTATTTATTAGTTATACATTTTCGTAGCTCACAATAAATTTGCCATCTACCTTGGTATTCAGCAAATATGATATCAAGGAAAAGAAATGATAGCATAACAAAAAGAATAGTAATAACAAAACAAAAAGACAACAAAAAAAAAAGTAGTAAAATAACACATACATAATAACATAATAACAAACAAACACAAAAAAAAGATGATGCACCAAGTAGATCAATGCAATAAGTCTCTTGGCAGCAGTCTCTGGGCGGATTATATGGATTTGTGGCAGTAGATAGGAAATCTCAGAGAAAGAGGAAAAAGATTCATTTTACAGCGCTGTGGAACAATGTCTTGACTGATGCCCATGCCCTGATATAAAGATATTAATTGGAGATTTCAATGTACAAATCGGGAAAGAATCTGTTTTTCGACCCACTATAGGAAAACAAAACCTCCATGATGGGTCTAATGATAATGGGAAGAGGCTTATCCATCTGGCAGTATCAAGGGAATTGGTCATTTGCAGAACGTTGTTTCCCCATAAACACATTCACCTTACCACTTGGAGATCTAACAATGGTATAACTGCAAACCAAATCAACCATGATCAGGCCTATCAGATGTGAGAATGTATAGAGGACCCAACGTTGATTCAGATCATTCTTGTGGCCAAAATAAAAGCAAGGCTATCGATAATTCGATCTCACAGAAGCGCATGACAACCAAAACTCAACGTTGAGTGACTTAGGACCCAGCCATTCAAACACGATATGCTGACACTATAGATGAGAAATTTTGTCAGTATAGAATGTGGATCAAGATTGGGAGGTCTATAAATCAACAATGAAGGAGGTGGCTAGTGAAGTACTCAGATTTGAAACCCCTACAACCAAGCATCAGTGGTTTGCTAAGGAATGCCAAGCAGTTACCAATGCAAAGAACTATGCATATCGTCTCATTATTCAGAGAAGGCACACCAGGAGTTCTGTTGAGGAGTATCGGAGCAAAAGACGCCAGGAGAAATACCTACATCGGGGAAAGAAGAGGAAATGGGAAGAGGACCGGTGAATCTGGAGGATCTAAGAAGGAACAATGAGGTGTGCAGGTTCTACCGGGAAGTGAAAACCATTCAAGCCGTATTTATTTGCTGGCAAAGACACAGATGGCACTCTCCCTAATGTAAAGCAGACTCTTCTAGAGTGATGGCAGAATCATTTTGTGATCATACTGAATGACAGAGTTGAGGATCAGCCCACACAGGATGTTACAATACCAACTGAAGACCTGGAACCGCCAGACATTGAGGAGGTTCAGGAAGCCATGGAATGCTTAAAAAACAATAAAGAATCAGGAGCTGATGGGCTGCCATCAATATTGTTTAGGTATGGAGGGCAAAAGGCAGTGAAAGCCTAAGGACTGTGTCATAGTGTGGATGAATGCCGACTCAATACCAAAGAGTCTCCTCGAAGAAGAAATTCACACCAACAGAAGGCGTGGACGGCCCAGGCTGCGATGGGTGGATGGGGTGAATAAGGATGCATGCACCATTATGGGGATCTGTGACAGTGGCTGCTCGGAATCGAGAATAATGGCAGACCTCTCACGGATTGTAGAGTCATGGAAGAAGAACATTAGCTGAAGAAACTAGTTTTCCATGAGGATCTAAAGTATGAGGATGAGGAGGTAACCCCTAAACATTATAAAAGTTGTATTTATTTAAACTTGAAAAATTTTTAATTGGATTTTTTTGTTTCATGATCATTGGTCTGACCTCATGAATGCTGTTCTTAACTCCTCTCTTTTATGAAGTTTGTGAGATCTAGATCTAAATTTTTTATTTTGTAAAATTATAACATGGGTATTAAGTATGGTAAAAAAAGGAATAGGGGTAAGAAAGTTGTCCTGAAATCCTTTTCCTTATAAATGTTAGGTGATTCTTAAAAACATTTTTAATTAGCCAATGAGAATCATGTATGCCGAAACTCATTTTATTTAAATTAAATATTTGTTGTAGTTTCAAACCTCCCCTTTACTAGCTGCTTTTAAAGAATTAGATTTTAAGTTAGAACTCCTAATTACTTAATTTTATACGGAAAAATCTGAAATAAAAAAAATTGGACATCAAATACAAAGATAGGTCTTTAGCCGACCACAACACATAAAATATGATATTAAAAAAACACAAATTGTGATCATGTAGAATAACAAAAGTAGATTTAATAATATCCAATACAACAGTAGTAAGATAGTATACAGAATATAATAGTATACAAATATTTGCTTCACCGTTTTAATCCATCGCTTAATGATTTTACTGTGGTTCTTATAAACCTCTTTCCTAAATGGTCTCATTACAAATCTTGGGAAAAATCTTCTGTTCCAAAACCCTTACCATTCTCTCTTGCCTGACCGGTAAAATCCATGATTTGCTTTTGTTCTTAAATAGTGCTGAAATAATTATTTTATATAAAATTAGGTACCTGCTTGTGAAAAAAAACTCATAACGTTGAGCTGCAATAGAATTTAAGTGATAAAGAACATATATAAGATTGAGAGTGCATTTTTTAAATAATAAAAGAAGGTTCTTAATAAGGGTAATAAATAATACTAAGCTATAAACTTGAAACAACAGTGTGTCTTGGAGGTGCGATAGGGACTGTGGGGCATGGCCTTTGAGAATGTATATCCAAAAGAATTTTGAAATGTTAATTTAAGAAGTTTAAATAGTTATTTTAATCAACTCCTTACTATAAAGTTTTGAACTTTTGAGCAATAAAAAAAAAATTATTTATTTATATTCATTATAAAAGCTAATATAATACATTCCAAACTAAATATTTTAATTCAGAGACAACAGTTTGAGAAAAAAAGACAGAAAGATATTTCTTGGGTGGAATTTTCAAAGCTGGAAACATTATTGTATATTAAAAAGTATACCATATCCAAAAGCATGAACTGGTGCTGGCATGTCATAAGTTAGTGGTGTCTTCATTCTAGTGGCATAGCTTCATCCCTACCAATTTTTTTTAACACTACTTATCTTTGCAAATATCCATAAGAAAAAATAGGGACTTTTTGGATTTTTATTGCTATAACCAATGTATAAAAATTGAAAATTCATGAAAATATCTTACTTCCCTTCCTTGATAGTACTTATACTATAGAATAATAAACTTCATTCAGGTAACACTGAAGGGAGTAGAGCTATTTTGGCTCCTATTTCAGCAAAATGTTATTGTCCTTAATAAGGAATGAGTTTAAGTATTTGAAGTGTCTGAACACCAGAAAAATATGTGGACTTATGTTAATGTTTTCTCTATTTTAATCCAGCTAACTTCCGATGTTTAGGAGAGGTTTGTGGGATTTTTGAAACTAAGTAAGTAATTATTTTCCACCATTTTAAACAGATTTTAGAGCTACTTCTTTTTTAAGTAAGGGAAACAGATTCCAAAGATATCATGAGAGTTATTTTGATTTCTAATGACGAAAATTAAAATTATTAATTAATATGTCTTAAATGCTATATATGAATTAGGGTTTTAAAGAAACAAAATAGCAATAATAACAAAAATATATTTAGACATAGAATTTTCTATTTTTACATAAGGTAATTTTTTAAACATATTTTCAAAAACAAAAGAAAAAAACATCATAATCATAATTCCTGGAATATTATGGTAGCATCAGGCTTTGGGGATAAAAAAAATTCAAATGGATCATGTAAGGAACCTTTTGCATTGTTAGAGGCCAATATTCTATATTTAAGAAGGATGAATATAGTAGCAGTCTTCACAACTAATGTTCCATATTTAAAACCTAAACAGAAAAAAAAGAAGGTATACATTTATATTATTATTCAGTATAAAATGAAAAGAAAAAATTATTCAAGCCATAAATCTAATAATATTGGTCCATGCTATATACCAGCTCTATTTGAGCAGTCATTTAATTATTTAAGTCAGGTGATAAGGGAAAGTTGTATAATGTGCTATATCTTCATAAGGGCTACAAACTAAGTAAAAAGACTATTTGTATCTTCTTTGTATATTTCTTTTTAGCCCTGACTTACAATTTGAATAAATAATTAACGATCATTTGTTGATCTCTAGCCAACTTCCAGACTGTCTCCTTCTTAAAAAATTTTAAACTTAGAAATATTTTTACATCTACAGTTTTGTAAAGGAAAATAAATTTCGCGCATATCTCACTTTTTTTTTTAAATCTAAAGAGATGTAATTTATTTTTCTCTTCAAGCAAAACTTAAATGGCTTATGAATTGCTTAGTTAGATTTGTTTTGAGATACACGAATAACCCGTTATTATGACGAGATAAATTGGTTCTTCCCATATAACAGGATCCAGTAATTCCTTGCGTCCTTCCTTTATCTGATCATCAGAATTCAGCGCCCACCCTACATACTACAATTCCTGCAATTTAAATCACCCATCGAATCCCAATACCTCTGATCTCATCCTTCTGACTTCTTCTCTCCTTCTCATTGAACTGTTGCATTTGACAAATCCTTCCTAACCCGAGCTGACTATCCCACCTATCATCCACCATGCTTCTATGGTTTCCTCTTTCAAATCTCTCCTATCCACCCACCTTTTCCTCGTCCAGCCTAGTTAATATTATTATTTTATACTTTTACCAATATTTAAAATTTTACCCAGTTTTTTTATTTACTGATTATTTAATGTAAAAAAGCTTTGTTGTTTTAATTAATGTAAATTTTTTCTTATCCTTTATGCTATCTTTTCACATATTTTTTATTTATAATAATGAGTATGACCACAATGTTTCGGCCACTATGTACTCTTATGCTAATTTTATTCTCAAGGGACTTTGTCCCAGCATAATGAAGTAATTCTTCATTTCACTTCACTAGTTATTCATTTTTTTTCTGAGATGAATCCTCCTAAAATTAGTTGCAGAAACTCATTGAACTATCAATAGTGACCAGCTATCGACTGTTGTCCATATCTACTATGTGAGCTCACCTCTCCTACCCATAAACTCATCATAGACAGACTATACTTCTTCAAAACATTGTCAGATCAAATATTAATCATTTGACATTTCAAAAAATTATATGATTTGAACATTTCTACCATATCCACAATATTCAACTGACTTTTCTCTAATTCCAGTGTAATTTATTTGATTTGGCACATTTTAAAAAACAAAATATTCCAAAAAGAAAACAAGGTACAATTTTCATTTCTTGAGTTTATGAATTATAGGCGAAAAAGTATTTTTCATAAACATAATAAAAAACCTTATTGGTCATTAGGAGAACTAAAATTAATAAAAATAATATAATTTTAGTGTGTTTTACTTTAATTTGCCACATAACCTAAGAAGCTGGCATTTTATATATTTCAATCTAATACTAGCTGTCCTAAAGTTAGATTGAAAATGGTTCAATGTTTTGAAAAACTAGACACCCAGAAATAGATGATGCATGGCATTACATAAAATCATATTTTGAAATCAGACTATAATATTTAAGTAAGAATATAATATTTAAATTGTGATCACAAAAAAAAAAAAAATTATAGACCGGTTGTTACATCTCCTCTCCCAAAAAAGTTCAATTTATTAAAATAAATAAACAATATGTTCAGAAAAAAATTATAATATTTCTCATGAGGATATATAATGTTATTTTTTAAAATTAATTATTAATCTTATTTCTATCATCACAAAGTATCTTACCAACACAAATTCTTGGTCCTTCACCAAAAGGCAAATATGTGTATTTTACTCTAGATGATTTATTCACTTCTGAAAATCTCTCAGGGTCAAACTTCATTGGTTCAGGATAATATACTGGATCTTGGTGAAGAGCAAGAGCAGAAATAAAAACTTTAGTGCCTTTTGATATTTTTATATCATTTATAACAATATCCTTAGTGCAAGTTCGAGATAATGATGGAACTGGCGGGTGCAACCTCATACATTCTGTAAAATTTCTTTGTAAATTATTTTAAATCTAAGTAATAATAGATTTTCAACATATCTACATTATATTGAAACAGTGCTATGTTAATCACGATTTGGAATGTCTCAGAGTTTATGGTTCTGTCTTAGTCTCAAAATTTTGAATAAATTAATTAATTTTTTTAGAAATTCAAATTATGAAGAGGGTGCTTTATTTACTTAAACCATTTATTTTCTTTTATATTGTTTTGGGATTACTAGCATGAATTTATACATTTTAAGGATTTTCTAACATGGAATTGTAAATTATGGTCTGGTTTTCTTATCTCATAAATGCCTTAATTTTATGGCCAGAACAAATACAAAGACAAAGCATTACTAGCATTAATAACATTACTTAATTACTTAGGATTAGTGAGGGATGGAAAGCCTTTTATGCAAAAAACTGAAAAATCTCTTAAATTATTTAAATTCTTAATCATGAATAAATAATATATGTGTACATTTTTAGTTTATATCTTAAAAATGATAAATACAACTTTTGTAGAGCAGAGTTTACATAAAGTTACCAAAAAAAATATTTGAAACTTTTATCCATGTTCATAAACTGGATTGCAGTTATGAGAAAATTTTTCTGATAGTCTCTCAAAGTGTTGTATTTTACTAACAATTAATGAATTGGACCTTATACCTTAAAGCGATAATAATGACTAGATGGAGAACCTGGCTGCTCTATGTACTCAGAAAATATTAATAAATTGTAGGGAGGTGTGAAAATTAGTATCATCTTTGTTTATCTCCCAAAAATATATCTGATGGTATACAGATGTGTATATTATACAAGTTATACCGACTATAGGAACAAAGTGGGTCAAATATTTTTTAAATTAAAAACAAACTTGAGATTTGTATTTTGCACCTTGAAAAATCCCTTAAATACAAATTTTCATAGCAGACAAAAAAAAAATTTGCCTAGGCTGTAGCCTTGGATTTTTTTTTTAAATTCACAAGAAATGTGATAACTTCAATGCACCTTCACCTATCTAACACAAAAATTAGCATAAATTCAGGACTCCATTAGGAATTTATATCTCCACCAAAAATAAGTTCCTCTATTTGTCAGTGAGAAAATTTTTCCACAGTTTAAGGAATTCATATCTGGGTGAAAGACGAGGTTGGCTCCAGCTCACTTCAATATAGATGCCTGCAGAAAAGGACAAATGCTGGGAAGACCTCCAGATTCTGGAATCTAGTCTGAAGTCATCTTTAACATATGAAAAAAAAAAAAATGGGAAAAATAGGAGAGGATGCAGCTTTGGGTATGGTGTCCATTCATGTTTAATATCACACTACTGCAAACACCCCCATTGTTATATTGGCATGGGAGAGTGGAAATAAATAAATATACAGTGAACGAAATAAGTTTACGTTATGAAACGATGATATTTATTTTGAAATATTGTTATTAAATATTAATTTTTATTGGGGGAGGCGGCATGAGGTGAAAGAAGAGGCAACAAAATTAAGCTTGCATTTCTTTAAAAAATTCAAGTTCTAGCCTCTCAAGCAATAAATCTCAAGCATATCTAACTATTTAAAAGCATGAATAGTTAATACACTCATTAATTAATTAATTATTTATCATGAAAATGACACATAGCCTTTGGACACAATGCCTCAAATTTCAAATAGCATTTATTAGGATGAGTTTTAGTATAATTCCAATGGTAATAAAACATTTTGAATTAAAAAATGTCTTTTTAAATGCACAAATCCATATTATTAAAGAAGTAGAAAAAAGTATCTAAAAAAATAAATAATGAGAAAGTTAAATTAATCCATCTAAAACTTAGATCAGTGTTAAAATAAAAATTATGGTTATAAAATTTTATTTAATGTTTTAAGCTCAAATAAACATGGCTCAATCAAAAGTTTAAATGTTGAAAGGACATTTTCTCTTTTAAAACATATAATTTACGATAAGAGATACAACTTCATTGAAAGACATCCAGAACTCTATTTGGTTCTGTAATATAATGGGAATAATTAGTTTGATTGTCTCTGAGAATTGTAATAGTTTTTCATTTTTTGTTAAAATTGTATGTAGTTTTAAGGTGTTTTACTTTTACTACGAGAGAACAGTCTAAAGCAGTATGAAAATTCATAGAACCGAAGCTCATTTTAGATTGCATTCATAATTTTTCAACACAAAAATGACAATATAAAGGAGACCTATCATATCCACCTTCTTCTAATATTCCAAATCTGGGAAGAGTAGAGTCAAGAGTTGTTCATAAAGCAATGAAGAGTATGTCTCTAGACACTTCCTCTGGGCCTGATGGATTTCTTATGAGAACAATAAGGAAGCTTGGAATTTCAAAAATAATTAAAACAATAATAGACATCATACTGAAATTTGGCTAAGTCCTTGAAATTATCTGTTGAGAACGGACAGTTGTAATTTATAAAGGATGGGTTACAGAGATGATTTGTCTTCGTGGAGACCCACAACAATGTACCCTATATTATAAAACATTGAAAAAGTTTTTGATCATGAACTTTGAATGCAAATTTCATTTCACTTAAACCAGAGGGGTTTTGTGATAGGACAATCTGGATGCCATGTGAACTCAAGAATCATTGAGGCTGTTCTCAAGAATGCTAAGTACTAATAGAAAGATGCTGCAGTCACATTCTTGGACGTAACTGGAGCATTTGACAATATACACCATTATCATATTTTGAAGTCTATAAGCTAAGAGTGTTTCAGCTGACCTGTTGCGTCACAATATCATCAAGGAGCACGGGCAGATCTACGGGGGAGGGAGGCTTTCGGGCTGGAGCCCCCCAAAATGGTAAAATATAATCATGTTTTACAGAAAAAAATATTAAAAACTACCTCTTAAAGTATTCTTGTTCATTTAATAGGACTTCAAGAACCACTGAAACACCATTTCATATAGGTAGTTAATTACTTTCTTTTTTTTTTCAAATTAATTATCGTTATATGTATATGAAAAATTTTTTTTCGGGCTGAAGCCTCCCCAAAATTAAATCCTGGATCCGCTAATGTCAAGGAGTTAACAAAACTGGTCGTATCAGTATTTTGAGAGGAGTACCACAGGGTGGACCATTTTCCCCAGTAATATCCAATTTGAGTATTGACTCACTTTATACAGCTCTCCCTCATCATTATTGAATTCTATAGATCTCATACAATAAAGGAGTGAGAATGTCATGGTAGATTTACCAGCCAACACGTGCTCAGCTGTGATGTATAGTGGGGATATAGAGGTCTGGGTCTTTTGCAGTGTCAGTGGGAGGCTCCTCTTGAGGTCTATTTCCCAAAAATTGGCCAATGTACACGATGCCCTGTTTCAGGTGATTTTTTATTTCAAGAGGTGAAATTCGAAAGAATGCTGACATGTAGGGCTTCAATTTGAATAATAAAAAAACCTCACTTATCAGTCAAGAAAATTAGGCAGTCCCTGAGGGAAAAATCGTTTGAAGATTTGAGGAAATGTAAGTGGCAGACAGTGGTGTGCTCCATTTTAAGTCAAACCCGTGGGCTAACAAATTTATGTATGACAGAAAAATTCTAATGGGCTCAGAATGGATAAATGCTTTGAAACTAAATGTCAACTATACTCCTCTTCTTGAAGTTCCAGGAACCGAAGGCCAGGCGAGTGGAGATGTTGAACCTTCTGCCACAAATGTGGCTGAGAGTCGGAAACCACAGCTCATGTATTGATTAAATACCCAAATAACATGCTCTTTGTCACCCACCGGCACAATAATATAAAATATCAAATTTCCAAATTCAAAATCCAGAGACAAAAACTTATAAATGCTTCCCCAAATTTTACTGCCTGGATATGGAAGGCTTAGCAAGATTCGTAGTTATCTTAATCTTTAATGCAAAAGGAAAGGAGATTCTAATAGTTGATCCTAAAATTAGATTAGAAATGAATGATGAGCACCAACATCCCAAAATACAAATAGAACAGAGTAGGAGAAAAAATATAAAAAATGCATTCCGTTTCTGAAGGAGAAATAAAGAGAGGAATTCGGTGAGAGAAATTTTTTCGGTATGAGGACTTTGGTTTGGATGTAGAGAAAAAATTCCTCTTACAACTGTTAGTTTTTTTTGGAAATGCTGGGTATTGAAAGGAATGAGATACTGATTATGGTGGAGTCCATTATTTCAGACTCATTGGGATGTTGTTAGGATTATTGGTGGAATCCTGCACCATCACACTTTATGAACCTGGGGACAGAATTGAGATGAATGAGGATGAGGAAAAAAATAAAACAAATAACATTTAATATACAAAGCACTTGGTATTTATGACTGTCCCATAAAAATTTAACCTTTCTGGATTCTTTAACAAGCTATTGTCAATCAGATGGATTAGTATGCTGTGTCAGTTAGCAACTCAACACAATAGAGCAGCATTAGAATTTTATTGTACTTCTTAACATTTATGTTAAATATTCAATTAAACAATTTGTTTTTGCTTGATCACATCTTTTTGAAAATTTTATATTTTCTGTTGCACGTTGGTCCATGTTTTAAGTTTTCTACTCAGTTATCGCTTGAGAGAGTAAAGGACCACTTGCAGGGTCAATATCAAATTTTGTCAATATGTCACCTGTGTAAGGAGTACATTGTGACAATGGTATTGCCATCAATCAAATTGGCTGATATAAATTCCTTTTTTTTGTTTAAGCGCTTTCAATATTATTGAAATAGTACCAATATTATCAAGTGTGTAAGAAGTATATATTGGTCAACTATTGATAATTTAAAAATTAAAGTATCCACTAACACAGAGGGATCACTCCATTTTTTTTTCTACCTCCATTTTTGAAGACTTTATTAGATGGCTAAAGGAAATATTTAATTTAAAGTCAATTCTTACTGCAAAATGCAAAGCTACAAGGAAAGCATAGAGATTCGTCAAAAATTTATAGCATCAACGGCCTATTTACTCAGAATTTTTTTTTACTTTGCAAAATTT